CCTGTTCGCCTTGCCCTCTCCCCCCGCGCCTCCTCCCCCCACCACGACGGCCCCCGCAGCAGGCGCTGCCCCTTCCGTGACCAGCCGGCCGCCTGTGAGTGCCCGCGGGGAGGGGAGCCAGGTCCTGGGGGTCCCCCCGGCCGTGTCCCCCCACCCTGCTGACGCGGTGCCCCGCAGACGGCCCCGAGCTGTGGTCCTCGGTGCGCTTCCACGACTACAGCGCTAGCAGCAAGGACCAGATGGCGATGGTGCTGAGCGCCAGCTGCCCCCTGCACCCCCGGGCCACCCTGTGCTGGAGGGAGGCAGCGGCCGAGACTGCGCCCTGCCACGACGTCCCCAACTCCACAGCCAGTGAGGAGGAGCAGGTGAGGGGTTCTGGCTTTGGGGTGCCACGGGGCACGGCAGCACCCCCCTGGCTGGGGCATCTGCCGGACCCCAGGGTCCCCTGAGGTGCCCGTGGGCTGCGCGGGTTGGGGACGGTGACGCGCTCTCTGCCCGCACCAGGCGTACACGCTGGACAAGGTGGACGTGCACCCCCAGCTCTGCTTCCGGGTAAGCCCCCGCGGGCGGGCGGGCACGGCCTGGGGGCCGGGGTGGGCGATGGCGGCTCACCCGGCCCCTCTCCCCCCAGTTCTCCTACGGGAACAGCAGCCACGTGGAGTGTCCCCACCAGCCAGGTGAGCCCCGCGGGCGGGGGGCACCCCTGGGCTGAGCACAACCCCACGTTGTGGGGGTCCCTCGCGCCCCTCATCCCCTCGGGCATCCCCTGATCCCCCGGCCTCTCTCTCCGGTGGGCGCAGAGACGGCCTGGAACGTCTCGGTGAGCGCCTGGGGGCTGCAGCTGCGCCTGCGCCTCACCTCCAGCGTCCCCGCTGCCTTCAGCGCAGCCCTCTGCCAGCGCCGGGGCGGGCAGTGCGAGCCCGAGGCCCCCCTCTACACCGTCACGCAGGTGAGTGGCAGGGGCCTTGGGGGGGGACGCGGGGGGGACCGAGCCACGCTGACCCTGCCCTTGTGCGTTGCAGCCGGAGGGCTCTGCCCCGGGGGGGCTGGCGCTGCG